AGAAAAGCTTTGCCGGCCTAATTTTGGACTTTTCATTCCCCTACAGTTCCACCCACATTCTCTTTTTTATGGATGAATTACATCAATAAATTGATAGATGGTTGAGCCGAATTTCGTATCCAAATTTTGATAGATGGTTGAGCCGAATTTCGTATCCAAATTTTAAATATGTGAATTGTTTGGGCAGCTTTACGATCCAAAATCCCAAGGATATTTTCTCGGAGAAAATACTCCGACGCTCAAGTCAGCAATACTCGATATTTTAGAGAGAGATGCTCTCAAAGAGTAATTGCAGAGAGAGAAGCTCTCAAAGAGTAATTGCAGAGAGAGAAGCGTAGAGATTAATTACCTTCATCGGAGGCGGTTGGGGGGTATTTATAACCCCAGGTGCTGACATGCATCTGTACATGTAAGCATCTCATTGGCCCACGTGGTGCTGGTCATGTGGGTATGTCTCCTCCTCTTGGGCCTGTGGGTGCATAGTTGGGCCTGTTGCATGTGGCCCAAAGCGGGTGTTGGGCCTAATCCCAACATTACTCCCCCCTTCAATGTTCGATTGGTGAACTAGGTTGAGGGCCTCATGAGCACGGTGTCTGACCCTGGGGATGAGGAGTGACGTCTTTGGTGCATGACTGACCTCACGCACGGTCGATGTGGGCGACTTGAAACCAGCGTGCCTGGTCTGACGTGTATGTGTATGCCGGCTTTCTACTGAGCAAGTGTGGGGAGCTGGTGTTAAAACTAGGCGAACTCGGTGCTAATTAGCAAGCTGGATAAGCGAGCTTGGTGCATGTGTTTTGGGCCGTAGCTGAGGTAAAAATGCATGATGCGGAGTCATGTGTTATAGTCATGTGTTATAGCCGTAGTTGAAGTAAAATTGCATGACATGGAGTCATGTGTTATGGTCGTAGCCGAAGTAAAATAGGTGACTCGGGGTCACTATGGCCAGAGCCGAAGTAAAATAGGTGACTCGGGGTCACTATGGTCAGAGCCGAAGTAGAACTGGTGACTCGTGGTCACTATGGCCGTAGTCGAGGTAGAACTGGTGACTCGATGTCACTATGGCTAGAACTGAGGTAAATAATGATGACTGGAGTCATAGCGGCCGAAGCCGAAGTAATAAGTAATGACCGGAGTCATGTGACCGGAGCTGAAGTAAAACATGTGACGTTGGGTTACTGGGCCGGAGCTGAAGTAAAGCATGTGACACTAGGTCACTGTGGCCGGAGTCGAGGTATAAGCAATGACCGGAGTCATAAGGGATTCTGTAGTAGGGTGAAGGCGTGCAGATAGCGAAGGCGTTGAACCAATCACCCCAAACGGGCTGAAATGAGCGACCTCAATCGTCACTATAATGTAGATCTCTAGAATACAGAGTAAATCTGAAGGAGTTGGTGACGATCTAACGTTTGATGTTCAAAATTGAGGTGAATCTTTAATTTGTTACGATTTGATCTTTAAAGACTTTGAAAAGATCTCTAATTTGAGGGTGTTGACATCTTTCAGCTCATGCTCGACCTCTGCACCTCGTGTTCAAGTTCTGCACTTCGTGTTCAAGTGTTTGAGCTCTGCAGCTCGTATTTGACCTCATCAGCTCATGTTTGAGCTTTGCGCTTCGTGCTTGGCCTCGGCAGCAAGTGTTTGAGCTCTGCAGCTCGCATTTGACCTCGGTAGCTCATGTTTGAGCTTTGCACTTCGTGCTCGACCTCTAAAGCTCATGGCTGACCTCGGCTGTAAGTGTTTGAACTCTGCAGCTCATGCTAAAGTTCTACACTTCGTGCTCGACCTCTGCAGTTCGGCACTTCATGCTCAACCTTTGCAGCTTTGAGATTTTTCAAATCTCAAATTGTGGCGAATCTCTGATGAGATTTGCTCAGGGCGTTTGGTATTCTTCTGCCAATAGTTCATGGTTGAGCTCGGCACTTCATGCTCAACCTCTGCAGCTTTGAGATTTTTCAAATCTCAAATTGTGGCAAATCTCTGAGGAGATTTGCTTAGGGCGTTCGGTATTCTTCTGCCAACAACAGATATCCTTTTGTCTCCCCGCAATAAATGCTGGCTCAGCATTTGAAGAGACGTGACAGCTAAAGTCGGTGGGTGTTACACGTCAGGCACTAAGTGGCTGCCATGCATAAAGCTTTGAGTGGTTGATAGAGAGGCGCGTACGGTGATTATGGCATGGCGCTTAACCCCTTTGTCACTTCTGTTATTTCTTTAGCATTTGTGTTTCCATATTCTCTGCACTCCTCTGCAGTAAAGAACTCCCGAGCTTTTCAAGCGACATTTCCAGAGGATTTCGTAGTTGATTTTTTCAGGTAATAACAAATGGACTATTTTAGAGAAGTTGGAGAACTCCGGGGTAACCAGGGTATAGAAGAGGAAGAGCGTGTGATGTCCGCAGAGCCGATTGCAATGATTGTTCCGCCGGAATTGCAAGACTTGCTGGAAACCCTTACATCTGAGAGTAGTGCCAGTTCAAGCGCACAAGAGGGTGACAACCACCACACTTCATCATCTAGTAGCTCGTCTTTTGAAGAGACACCCAGCTGCGAGGAAGAGACGAGGAATGTGGTTGGCAATGAACCAGATCTGCCCATGGTTGGAGAATGGGAAAATAAGGCAATCACGGGTAGATTGAGCAACCTACGGAAGGCGCCCAAAGATTTGCCTTCTAGGTTTAGGTTCAGGGCGGCACTTCATCATGAAGTGGCTGACAGCACACCCTCCATAAGTGGATACAAGAAACTAGAGGAGATGGTGAGGTCGTACCAAATCCCCAAAACAATATTGCTCCGAGCTGGTACACCAAATGAAAGGGCCTGCACGGTGTCATAGACAGGCTGGATACTAGTGTACGTGGATCACTTTGACGCTGGCTTACGATTTCCCCTACCCGGGCTGATATTTGATCTACTGGCGGATTACGAGCTGGCTCTGACGCAACTGACGCCCAACAGCATAAGGTTCATCATAGGCTTTATGCTGTTGTGTGCGAGGTTGGAGGTACCGGCCAAGGCGATAGTGTTCAAGTCGCTGTTCAAGGGTCGGCTGTGCCCAAACTCCAGAGGTGCGAAGTGGTACTACCTCTCTGGGAGGGAGAAGAGCCAGCTCTTTAAAAACGTGAGGAATAAGGTGGCGAGGTGGAAGAGGCAGTTCGTTTTTGTTCGTGATACGTGAACATAAAGAATAAATAACGACCTCGTTGCTTGGCTCTTTGAACGGCGCGTTCCGAACGCACATGTGAACTACCCCCAGTTGCTACCTCGGGACACGGATATAAAGAATCAGCTGCTACAGTATGCGAGGAGGAAGAATTTGATAGACTTAGAAGCCTTGGAGCAGTTCGCAGTGTTCGGGTTTGTTGACGTGGCAAACCAGTTCGCAGAAGGTATATTTTTATCACATATGATGAATTCTAGTCGAGCTGAGTCTTATGTATTTGTTTGTGTAGGAGAAATGAGTAGCATCTTGGAGAGGCAGCGCCAACAAGCCCAGGGCTCCCAAGGTCGCGCGGCGAGCAACGCTTCACAAAGGTAGACAAGGTTCGACGAGCGGCCGCCACCAATGCCATTATCACGCAACTCGTTGCATCGTGGACCCAGCTCGGCATCCAGGCCTCGCGACGAGCAGAGGGTTGAAGCTGTGGCCCCTAGTACACGCAGGTGTGCACGTGAGGAGATTGACAACAAAGATGAAGTCCCCCTTGTGTGGCGCAGAACAAGTCTGGGGGCTCAGCCCACGCAGGTTGCTCAAACTACAACCGCGCACTCATCAAACGCGCCATCTGCACGACACGAGCAGCAGCTAAGCCCATACCTGCGTCGACCTCACTGTCAGCGCCCAGGATTGCGTATTTGGAGGGTTTCAATTACGTGAAGACAGACTGCCAACCCGCCATGGTGCAAGGCATGTAGAGTTTTGTGCCCCCCGTAGATCGCCAACGGGCTAGGACTTATGTACAACAGCATGGAGGGCAGGTCGCCATGATCAAATTGATGGACGTAAGTACTTCTTCGTAGTTGCGTGGTTATTCTGCTATTTCACCTAAGAGACTAACAGTTATTGTTGTTTGGCAGGCGTTCAGCTACGCGGTCGTGTTGTTTGAGAACGATCAAGGAGCTTGCACTCAGAACAACGAGCTTAGTGCCAACTGCAAACAGTTGGCCGCAGAAAAGGCTAGCCTGGTGGATGACGTCAATCGTTTGCAAGGCTCGGAGATGGCCAACCGAGCTGCTTCAGCGGAGAGTAGAGCAGAAGAGCTTGCGAGCAGGAACAATGAGCTCAGGGAGAAGCTAGAGAGGGCCCGTGCTGAAAAAGAAAGCGAGATCCAGGTAGCTAGGGACAAGGCCACCCGCGTTGAGGAACGGGCTAAGAAGGCCGAGGCTGAGAGGGACCATGCTTTGAACGAGCTGGGCTCCTTAAGAAACCAGGTCACCGAGGCCACCAAGAACCTCAACGGCGCTGAAGAGGCCCTGAACGAATTGAAGACATCTCACGGGCACTCTGTAAGCATCGCCCGAGCTCATGGGGCAGAATGGCTGGTGGGGTCGATTGCGTTCCAAGACGCAGTGGTAGTGGCGTTTGCAAACATGACCACGGAGATCTATGACGAGATCCGTGAGAAGGTGCTGCAACATTGCCCGGACTTCCCAATACGCGAGTTGGCATTCTTCGATGGGGAGGACCTCGACAAGCAGGGTAAGAGCCTTGCTCCACTTGCAGATGCGACGGTGCGGTTGAGATGGGAGCTCAACGAGGAGGAGGTACCTGTTTGGCCTCGCTCAGTCCTAGAAGAAAGGGAGGATTTAGAGGGCCTACCCTCATTTGATGCATGGGTGAGGGGGCTCCAGTGGCTGAACCAGAGTCGTTGAACACTCCCCCAAACTCTCAGCCCGCCATGGTGCTAGCGGGGACTCCAGCTACTGCACCAGCCCGCTAGCCCGCTGCCCAGCCATCTCCAGCTCGAGCCGAAGATGCTCTTACTGACGCGTCCACGCCCTCAACCTGACGGACAATTAGTTTAGGATTTTACATCTTGATCTTTTGTATTTTTTGTTTCCTTTTCTTGAACAATTGTATCACAATCTCCTGCACTAAAACTTGTAATTTTTCGAAGAGAAATAGAAAGTTGGAGATTATATCGAATTGTTCTTCTTTATTGTATTGTATATATGGTTTACATTTCCTTGAACAAATTCCTCATTAACATATACATTAACTATAAAATCTTCTAAGATTATGTACATTCCAAATATATGGTAACTGGTGTCCTTGTATGTTTGCTAACACATAGGATCCAGGTCGCTTAATTTGAATAACCATATAAGGACCTTCCCAATTAGGAGCGAGCTTGCCCATGTGTGAATAAGTATTGGTTAATCCAGGTTTGCGTAAAACCAGATGGCCAACCTGAAACTGACGAGCTCGAACTCTTTTATTATAAAACTTTGCCACACAACTTTGATGCGCCATGTTTTTTATTCGAGACATCTCCTTGACCTCTTCCACAAGGTCTAGGTTCTCTCTTCAAAGTTGCTCATTGTTAGGATCGTTGTGCCGATCTGCTCTATCAGATGGCAATCCAACCTTTATAGGGATGATGACCTCAGCTCCATAGGCAAGGTTGAATGGGGTTTCGCCTGTGGTCGAGTTGGGTGTAGTGCAACATGACCAAAGCACTTTATTGAGCTCGTCAACCCAATTAGAATGCGCAGCTAAAATACGCGTCTTGAGGCCTCGCAAGACGATTTTATTGGCTGACTCGGCTTGTCCATTGGACTGTGGAGTATACACAGATGTCAAGGTGAGCTCAATGCCATAGTCGTTACAGAACGACCTCAATGCCGCGGCTCAGAACTGTGGACCATTATCAACAATGATCCATTTTGGTATGCCGAACCTATACACAGATGAGCGAGCTGAGTCACAAATTACATTTGTATATAATGTATTAATGGCTTAAGCCACCAAAGAATACCTGCATAATATTGAATTGAACAGGAATTCTTCTATTTTCTTCTCTGTTGTTGTGGACAACGGTTTGGCCTCTATCCATTTTGTGAAGTAATCCACCGCGACAATTAGGTATGTGCAACCTCCTTTACCTTTCACAAAAGGGCCGAGCAGATCTACTCCCAATTGAGCAAAAGGCAAGGGAGATGAGAGTGATGAGAGCATTTCTCCTGTTTCAACGAAGATACTTATGCTCAATTTATAGACAAACATTAAGTTTGTACGAACTTTAGAACGAGCTCAGATACCTGGCATGTGAAGATCATCAGCATTGAACTGGCAGGTTGTGTACTTTTTGACATAGTTCTGTGCATCCTCAACCATAGTAGCCAGTAATAACCATGCCTCAGGAGTTTCCGAGCAAAAGTTCTACCACCTATGTGTGTGCTGCATATTCCTTCATGAATTTCCCTCACAGCGTATTTAACTTCATAAGGAGTAAGGCAGTGTAATAAGGGCATTGAGGCTGCTCGTTTGTAGAGTTGATTATCTAACAAAGTGAAATGTGCCGCCCTACGTTTAATCAACTTTGCAGCGGACGGATCTTTAGGTAGCTCGCCACTTTGCAGATAATCTATGAGGGGGGTAGTCTAGCTCGGTGAAGAGGGATTTGTGCTTAGCAACTGACACTCGATTGTGAAATCGGTGTAACTCGGGGCATCAAGTACCTCCACGATTGTTGACCTCTAAGGGTTGATATCTTGCGATGAGGCTAATTTTGACAGCTTGTCAGCTCATTGGTTATTTGCTCTCGGTATCTTGCCGATCTGGAATGAGGCAAATCTTAACTTCAATTTGTTTACCACAGAGGCATAACGACCAAGCTGAGGATCCATGATTTCACAGTTGCCATTCACTTGGCCCACCACGAGCTGAGAATCATTGAACACCTTAATGCTCTGCACTTTCAGCTCGGATGCCAACTTCAAGCCATAAATGGGGGCCTCATATTCCGCAACATTATTAGTGATCTAAAACTTAAATCTTAATACATGCTCGGATTTAAAGCCATCTGGGCCCACTAACATAGCCCTAGCACCCGATCCTTCAATGCTAGCAGCTCCATCTACACACAAGACCCAGACTGGGTGTTCGGGTGCCTTCTCTTCCACCGTCGCCGAGAGGCACTCCATTAGAAAGTCCGCCACAGCCTGGCCTTTTATGGTTGTGCGCTGTTGAAATTTGATATCATACTCACTCAGCTCGACGCTCCACCCGATAAGCCGACCTGAGAGTTTCGGCTTCTGCAGTATCTTCTTCAACGGCAGATCGGTGTAGACACCAATTTGATGTGATTGGAAGTAAGCTCTCAACTTACGAGCTGTATAAACCAGGGCAAAACAGCCTTTTCTACTAGTGGGTAGTTCTGCTCTGCGCCTTGTAAAACTTTGCTCACATAGCAGATAGGCTTTTGATGTTTATCCTCTTCCCTTAGCAAAACCGAGCTTACAACCTCCTCTGTAACCCCCAGATACAAGTATAAACTCTCTCCCTCCATGGGCTTGGACAATAGGGGTGCTGACACTAGATATTGTTTGAGCTTGTCAAACACATGCTGACATTCATTGGTCCATTGGAAGTTCTTGGGCTCTCGCAGTGCTTTGAAGAACGAGAGGCATCTTTCTGCCAACCTAGCTATGAACTTGTGCAACGCGGCCACAAGGCCTGTCAGACACTGGACATCTTTAACGGTCTTGGGAGGCTCCATCTGCTAAATGACTTGAGAATTTCGGCTTCTGCAGTATCTTCCTCCATCTGCTCCATCGGTGTATCCACGTACCCTAGGAATTTTCCTGATTTCACAACAAAGGTGCATTTTAGGGGATTCAACTTCATTTGGGCTTTGCGCAAGTTTTGAAATGTTTCATTCAGGTCGTCTATGTGATCCTCAGCTCGCTTGCTGGTGACTATCATGTCGTCCACATATACTTCAATATTCCTGCCAATCTAGAGCTTAAAGATGACTTGCACCAGCTTCTGATATGTCGCGCCAGCATTTTTCAGGCCAAATGGCATCATGACATAGTAGTAGATTGTGTCACCAGCATAGAAAGCTATTTTCTCTTGGTCGTCCAACAGCAGTTGAACCTGGTGATAACCCGAGCTGGCATCAAGGAAGCTCATCCGCTCATGTCCCGCTGCTCGCTCTACTAACTTTTTAACATTTGGCAAGGGATGAGGGTCTTTCGGACACGCCTCATTTAAGTTAGTGAAATCAATATACATCCTCCACTTGCCGTTTGGTTTTTTGACGAGCACAGGGTTGGACACCCACTCAGAGTATTCAGCTCTCTTGATGAAGCCTGCCTGTAGTAGCTTTTGTATCTCTTCATCCATAGCAGCTTACTTCTGAGGGCCAAAAAGGCAACGTTTCTTAACCACCAACCTTTTGGTGGGGTCCGTGCTGAGCTTGTGGACTATCAACTCTGTTGGGATGCCCAGCATTTCATCCGTTGTCCACGCAAACACATCCTGGTTAACCCTCAAAAACTCCAAAAGCTTTGCTCGCTCTTCTTCTGTGAGCTTGGTGCCGATCTTAACTGTTCTTTTAGGCACATCATGGTTTAAAGGGACTGCTTCCACTGGTTCTACCGGCTCAGCCTTCTGCTTGACACCCTCAGGTCGGTGCTCAATATCTGGTATGCTCATTGTCTGCTGATCGAGTTAAGTTGGCCTGTGACTTTCAAAAGAGCCTCTCGGGGATGCAACGAGCTCGACCTTCTTGAAATCGACCTTCTTGAAAGTATCTTGATAACAGGCTCTTGCCATCTTTTGGTTCCCCTTAAGCACTCCTACCCCCTGAGGAGTTGGGAACTTCATGTAAAGATAAGGTTGCGAGATGACGGCCTTCAGCTCGCAGAGGGTGGCCTTTCCCAATATGGCATTGAAAGCTGATTCCATCTTGACGACCAGAAAGCTAATAGAAGTCATCCTGAAGCATGGTTCCGAGCCCACATAGATGGGAAAAGTAATTACCCCCTCAACTGGGATGGGTTGATTATCAAACTCATAGATGGGCCTCTCGTGTTTCTGCAGCAAGCTCGGATTCAGCTGCATTTTCTAAAAGCAGCTCCAGTACAGGATATCTGGTGAACTACCAATATCAATAAAGACCTTGTTGATGTTATGATTGCCTATGTGGACCGTTGCCACAAAAGGATCTGCATGAGGCATCATAACGTCGGGCTCTCTGTCTGCTCGCTTGTAGTCTGCCGGGCTGAATGTGATGGGTGTATTTTCCCATTCTACTTCTTCAAATGGGCGCTTTAAGGGCATGTTCTTATTAACAGTCATCACCTGGCGGGCATATGCTTTGCGACCTTGGGCGCTTTGGCCTCCTAAGTAAATACCACCCGAGATCATGTTTATTGTACCAGAGGGCGGGGGTATCCCAGCATAGCCTACCCATTTCCTGTATTTTTGGTTCTGGGTGGTAGTTCTCTGTCCTTGGCCTCGCCTATTGAACTGGCGACCCCTGTACGCTCTGCCTTGCTCAGAAGGATATTGGTTATTCTGATATATGTCATGTGTGTTGTCGAGCTAGTACCTCTGCCCCTAAGGTCGGTCATACCCCTGTACAAAGTGAGTTTGAGTTGGTTGCTGGGTATGAGACTTCTGGACATATCCTTCTAATTTTTCATTACAAGCTAAGAACTCCAGCTCGTCCTTTAAGTGTTGGCAATCTTTTGTATTGTGACCGTATGCACGATGGTAGTCACAATGCTTACTCTTGTTTGCTCTAGGGGAATCATGCAGTAGGGGTGGGGGTCTTCTAATCCAGTACTGGATTTGTGCCAGAATTTGAGACCTTGGCAAGGTCAAAGGGATGCAGTTAGCATACTTCGGAAAGTCAGCTGGCTTCCCCTACTGCTCATTGACTTTCTACTTTTTCTTTTCTTCTCTCCTCGGTGGTTGTTCATGGCTTTTGCTCTACTTATCGTCAGCTCGTCGCTTGGACGATTGGAAGTCTTCTGACAGTATAAAGCTAGCCGACCTGTTATTCTCTTCGTTCCACGTCTTCGGTGGGTTTTCTAGTAGGTCGTCTAGGAACCGATCACACTTCAAACCATGCAGCAAGGCAGACAAGCAGATGGTATCGGGGACGTTATCAATGTCTAAAGTAACTTTGTTGAATCGCTGCATGTAGTCCCTCAAAGATTCCCTTCTCTCTGATGAACTTGCATCAACTCGGTCGTTGTGCGTTTAATCTCCCTTTGACTCGCAAATTTGTTGGAAAATAGCTTGGCGAGCTGGGAATATGAGTCTATAGAGTGTCTGGGGAGTTTATGATACCATCTTCTGGCCGTTGACTTCAGTGTCGCTGGGAACACTTTGCACATAATGGCGTCATTGGCATTTTGGATTCTCATGATGGCCTAATAGGTGTGCAGATGTTCATCTGGGTCACCCGAGCCATCATATGTCTCTAGGTGGGGGATTTTGAATCCCTCTTGATACAGTTCCGCTGTGATGGATAGGTTTAGTGGGGTACTATCTAAATTAAGGGTCTGTTGGTGTGACTTGGGACTTTTCAGCTCATCAATGGATTTCTGTATTTCCCGTAACTACCTTTCAAGGTCTGTATTCTTTCTCATCAGTTCTTCACTGTGTTTAGACGAGCTAGGCTCATTATTTAACTTCCCACTTCCCCTTGGTTTGGTCGGCACTACTATATTGCTTAGAACGAGGGAGTTTCAAGTTGCAACAACCACAGCTGGCTGTGCATCCCTATTCAACAAAGGAATCAGGGGGTCATCCGGGATCAAGCGAGCAAGGATTTTACCCATTGCCATTTCGAGAACTCTGGTTCTCTCTTCGAGCTCGGTTGTCCGAGCAGGTTCTATTGATCTCTCAGGTTGTTTTTGTTGTGAATTGCCTGGTCTGGGATGCTTTTGCCTTGTTCCTGTTGGAATTTGGAATTGTTCAGGCTGGGTTGTGTACCTAGTTGGTGTTCTTCATCACCATCTGTTCTGCTAAGTTGCTCTTGTTCTACTCCTCCAACGAAAAGATTTCTTGGGATTGGCCTAAAATCATTCAAGCTGAGCTCAGATAGTTGTGTGTCATCCTGTTCGTCCATTTCATTTTTTGGAGGGCAACTTCCAGTAAATGTACGAACCATTTTGTATTTCAACCGGTTAAGCTACACAACTTCTTGTTCAAGTTCCCACAGACGGCGCCAAATGTTTGGGCAGCTTCACGATCCAACACTGTTGAGGTCTTTATCTACTTCTACACTTGAAAATCCCGAGGATGTTTTTTCGGAGAAAATACTCTGATGCTCAAGTCAGCAATACTCGATATTCTAGAGAGAGATGCTCTCAAAGAGTAATTGCAGAGAGAGATGCTCTCAAAGAGTAATTGCAGAGAAAGATGCTCTCAAAGAGTAATTGCAGAGAGAGAAACATAGAGATTAATTACCTTCATCGAAGATGGTTGGGAGGTATTTATAGCCTCAGGTGCTGACATGCATCCGTACATGTAAGCATCTCATTGGCCCACGTGGCACTGGTCACGTGGGTATGTCTCTTCCTCTTGGGCCTGTGGGTGTATAGTTGGGCCTGCCGCATGTGGCCCAAAACGGGTGTTGAGCCTAATCCCAACATGAATGTAGTTGGTTGAAACTTCGACTCTCGTCAATATTTAAAAAAAAAATATTTTCAATCTCAAATTTCCATGTTAAAAAAAAAAGAATAAATAAATTGATAGATGGTTTGATTATAACAACAAAGAAAGCAAAAAAAGAAAGTCAATAATTCATGTCCCGTACACGCAACACATTGGACGCAAATTGGAGGAAGGAAGCCGATCTTATTCAAAAACCCATTACCACGTCTCTTGTATCATTTGCACACGTTATTTGGACCCTGGCTGCTAAAGCCAATTACATCAGATAAAAGTTCTCGATCCCTCTTCCACAATTAGGTTTTTTTCCACGCCAATCATATCGTTAGCCTAGTGATGAAAATTTACATTAAGAACTCACAAATTTAAAGTTATGAGTTTGATTTTTGTACATGAAGAGTTGTTTTTTTTTTTTTAACAAATTTTTAAGGAATTGGATTCGAATTATTGTCTTGGAGAAAGCGAAAATGCACTTATACATGGTTTGACGCCACTAAACCGAAGGCCTAAATGCTTTTTTTTTTTTAATAATTTTTATATTATATTTAAGTTGAGATATTTATATTGTTTATATTCTACTTACTAAAAATAAATATTAATTTATCATTGAATGGGTCATGCTTAGTTTATTTAAAACTAATTTTAAATGATGTAAAAGAGCTAATAACTTTAATATTTTAGTGATAATTTCACTTTTTTAAAAGGATATGAATTTAAATTCAAGTTAGATAAATATATAATTAAGATGAATATGTAATTAAGAGGATGAGAGAATAATGAGATAAGAGAAAGTTACTTCTCATTTTTCATTACACAAATTTATAAAATTTAAAAAAAGAAGATATGAAGGGAAACAATAGTTATAACTATTAGGGAACCTTATTCTTGCAATGTAACTTTCCATCAGGTCTAACCCAATCACATTATTGATTCTTTTTTTCGTGATTATTGATTCTTTTCTTGAATAAGTTTACAAATAATCTTTTCTTGAATAAGTTTACAAATAATCTTAATATTTTATGGGAGAAGGGAAAAAGTAATTTAAAAAATTTGAACATCAAATTTGAAGATATTTTTTTAAAAGATAAATGTTAAATATCTTTTTTGATCTCTGTACTATAAGAAAAAACTTTTTTTTTGGTCCTTGCATCGATAAAATTTCTTTTTTAATCTTTAAATTTTAAAATTCGACCATTTTTTAGTCTCTCCGTTAATTTTTGCTCACGTGACACGTTAATTTAACTAGAACAGCTGACGTGAATATGCTGTGTAAATGATGCTTACATGGATTAATATATCATTGATATATTGATTCTTGATTCTCAAAACTAAATAATTCATACATGGTAAAATGTTGTGCAGGTATTATTTCTCCGAAAAAAAGGTTAAATATCCTTTTCGGTCCCTCTACTATAGGAAAAAGTTTCTTTTTGGTCCCTGTATCGAAAAAATCTTTTTTTTAGTCCTTACTGTTCACAAATCCGATCCCTTTTTGGTCCTTCCGTTAATTTTTGCTCACGTGGCACGTTAACTTAACTGGAACAGCTGACGTGGGTATGCCAACTGGTAAAAGATGCTTACGTGGACTCCACG